TTAAAAAAGTAAATAAACTATTAAAAAAGTAAATAAGATTTGGAATATTTTAGTTTGCATAATAATAAAATTTTTTTCTATTCAGTTGATTTGATTGGTTAGTGATCATTCTTGAATTGATATAAAGAAATTTCTAGAACCATTAGATTAGCATTCTATTACTATAAATGGTGTGATCAGCACTGTACATTTATGATATATTTCCTGACTGAATAAGTTAGTACCTGTTATTTAGAAGTAGTTCTCATATGCTACTTACTGACAGTCTCAGAGTTTATCACTCACTATATAGTCTCGGCATTTGTCGTTTAGAGGTAGTTCTCATATGCTACTTGCTGACAAGCCCAGAGTTTATCACTTATTAAAAAAATATTAAGCAGGTGTTGGGCAGTAGGTTTTGAAAAAACTCACTCTCTTTTAAATTGGTTTAAAGCTTAAGTAGTCCCTCTTTACCTCTTGTCGTTTTTCTGTCAATCTTCAAAATTTTTTCATAAAAAGTGGGGATTTGGCTTACTCTTTCCAAAAGATCGGCATTGTTTATTTACCAAATCTAGATAAACTGGTAGATAGCAACCATGTATTTGGAGACGAATATGTTGCACAGGCCCTGAAACAAGTCCTGGTCAAAAAAGAAATTTCTGGTGGTGGCAACAAGTGGCTTGAGACATAAGTACCTGAGTGATGGCACCTTTATAAAAATATCACGATCTTTGTTATCGTTGGTGCTATATATGGAGAGTCAGATCCTAGTATAGCGGCAGCACTTGGCTTGAGATATGAACTAGGCTATTAAAAAGATTCAGAAATAGGTCAGAGAGAATTTTAAAGTTAAGTTTAGTTTTACAATAGAGATATACAGATATTGTATCTGGTATATAATTTTTAAATCACCTGGCACAGGTTATAATAGTATATTCAAATTGCTTAATTTTTCTTTTTTTTTGCTTGTTTCATTTATTTTCATTTATATTAGAATTGGTTTAGGTTCTCCTTTTCTTTTTTTCTTGTTGTTTTATTTTCTCTTTTGAGTTCTGTTTTCTTTTTTAAAACAATTTTTATTTTTTCAATTATGAAGAAGCTTTTAGGGATTTTCTTTAAATGTACTTTCCTTCATAATTTTAGCATATATGTTAGTCTTACATAGAAGTAGGAGATAGTATAAATTTGCTAGAATCTAAGTAGATTGAGTTCAAAAAGATATTACCAAAATTTTAGATGAGATAAGTTTAAAAGAAGAGATTGGCTCTTAAAAGAAGTTTTTCTTTTGTAAATTGGCATATATTTTTGTGCTATACAGAAGTAGAAGAAAATATATTTTGCTCGAATATTGGTAAAATAAGTCTAGAAAGAAGGCAAAATGTAATTGGTTCGAATGTAAGTAGTTAAGTACTAAGCTATAGCAGGTTTTTAAATATGAGTAGCACCATATATAGAGCTTGTTGGCAACATCAGTGTGATAACCATACTTGGGCACTTTATAGCAGCCGGGTATATGCCTAATATGTAAATTAAATAGTTAATTTTGTAAATTGCAAAAATTCTATAAATTAGTACAAGGTTATCAAAATAAAAATATATATATATATATACTAGTATATAATCTATTATGTTGCTTTATTATTGTAAACTTTTAAATAGATATAACTATAACATATTTAACTTTTTTTTTTTAGTATTAAGATAACCTTAATCTTTTATATTGTAATTATAACAATAATATATCAAGCTATATATATACTTTTAGTAACTAATTTAAGTAGTTATTAGTGCTAAGCATAGCAGAAGTTTGTTTTGATTGGCTATTAGTAGGATAAATATGATTGGTGATGATCTTTTTTTTATATAGTCATTTGTAATTTTTAAAGTACTTTTAATAGTAAAATCGTCATATCATATGAAACTTTTTTTTCATAATACAAAACGTAACAACCAACTTGAGTCATTGGTAGTTTACTTTTAAACTTATTGTTTTTTAACCTGAGATGCAATAAGATACAATAGTTTCAAAAACTAGATGAGAGGTGAATATTTTGAAAGGTCAAAAGGTGGTGTGTTGAAATTAAAAGATTCACTTTAACTAGTTTGTTTGTGTTTTTTTATGAGTAAAAGTATTATGTTGAACTATTATTCTAAACTATATTTTAATATTTTTGATTAGATACAAGTATACTTTGTGGATATTATTTTTATAATACAATAAGTGATAGTAATAGTATGCATTATTTAGTAAATATTTATATGTATTTATTGTGAAAAAATAACAAAACTCTTGTAAAATCCAAATTAAAGTTGTTAATATAAAACTGAATTAGTATATTGTAAATTTATAATGTCTTTAGAGTGTATTGACTAATTTTTTAAAAGTTCGCGAGTTATAAAATTTTTGTCCGGGATAATATCCGGGGTATGATCGACATTTTTTCCGGGGTATCTTAACAACCAATCAAAACGAACTTCTGCTATGCTCAAAAATTTTGATTTTCATTTATGAACTATCAGGAATTTCATACGATTCTAAATTCAGATGAAATGTTAGGTTTAATTTGTCAGCTTCTAGATATTATTTTATCATCAGAATTTCTATTTTTTATCTACGCAGTAATTAAGACATTAACTGAATTTTGGGTCATTTAGTCCACGTAACATTTAGTTAATTCAATATAACGATAAGAAATGCAAAACATAAAATTTGGTCGTAATCTAAGGTGTCTCATTTTTTTGGTAAGTTTGCCATCAGGTTGCTTTTTTAAAGGAATTTTCCAACAAAATAACTAATACCCGAATCATAAAAAAAAATATATTTTTTTTTGTATTAGAATCCAAATTTGTATGTAACTCGTCTTGTAAAATGTTTCCACTACGAGATCAAGTTGATTAATAAATTTGAGTGCTTTGTGAAAATTATTCATAAAGAACTTTCTTCTGTTTATTTTAAAATAAAAATATTATTTATATGGAATATTATATTCATAACACCAGTGTTGTATAACACCCTATATATTTTGTATTTGAGTTAGATTAGGGTTAGGGTGTAGCTTTAATATATATAGAAGTTTTTTTTATATAATATAATATATACTAGATATAAGGTCCCAATTTTAGTTCTCGTGAGGTTTTCATGGGTCCTGAGCATTTTTACTTAAGATACCCGATCCCGTTTACTTAGTACGTTTTTGAGATATAGTATAGGGTTAGTATAGGGTGTTATATAACACGGTGTTATAAATATAACTTTCCTATTTATATTATTTCCAAATATTTCCTTAATAATCTGTAGAATTTAAAAACTACCGAATCTGCACACATAGGCCAAATCTGAAATTTCTACGTTTTAGACAATTGCATATTTGACTTAAAGTAGCGCCCGTGTACATCTCAAAATAATGCGCTTCTATTTACTTTTGAGCCTAATTAGTGTATACTATATACTAATTGCGTCAGGTATCGAAATGCCGCTTTATGTACGTTCCAAAATAATGCAAAAATACAGCATGGATTTTAAGCCTAATCTCGCAAATAGACTCAAATATTAAAAAAAACCAATAAATATAAATGAAAAATAAATAAAAATTGAAAAATTTCCCCTCTATAATTACAGTTACTAAATATAAAATATTATATATTTAGTATTCTATATAATTTTTTCTACATATATCCGAATTTATTTTAACCCTTTATTTTTGTCCCAATACGACTCTGATAACAATGATTAACATTGAGTAAAAAAATGATATAGAGTTATATATTACTGTATTAATAAGCAAAGATAAGTATCATAAAGAAAGATGATAATGTTAAGCAAATTTAAATATTTTATATAATAAACATACAACAATAATTAACGGAATCAAAAAAAAACAATTACTTAATCACTTTAACCTATTCGATCTGTTGTCTATAATTCTCTATGTTCAATTTATCAAATCCACTATCTGTTAAATAAATCGTAATTAATAAAGAAATAATATTGATTTATTATAAATAAATATGATTGATTACCTTGATAAAGTGGCGTAGTAAATTCAATAAATTTGCTTCTATAAATGTCATCAGAAGATGTTTGAATATGTATTCTTTTGTTTTTTAATATTTCTTCAGATTCAGTTAGTTCCGATAAAATATTTTTGTCATTTTGCCATTCTGTAAGGATTTCACAGATTTCTATAGCTGATGGGCGATTTTTTGGATCTCTTTCCCAGCATTTTTTCATTAAGTTTAGATAGCATTGTGGTGTATTCTCTATAATTTTTGGCCGTAAATTTCCTCGGCATATTTTAATTTGAAGTTGAGTCTCAAATTCTTGATTATAATTTACGGATTGTCCATATAAAATTTCCCACATAATTATTCCAAAAGAATAAATATCTGATGCTGTTGTATATTTTTCTCCGTCTAAAATTTCTGGTGCTATATATGGTAAAATTCCATAAATTCCACGCTTTTCCGAACTTACTACACTATTAGTCGCTATTGAAAGACCCAAGTCTGCAATATAAGCACTATGTAAATAGTCTTGTAAAATATTACCACTATGCAAATCCCGATGAATAAGTCCTTGAGAATGAATCATTTGAAGATCAGAAGCGATACAATGTAACAAAGTCAATTTATCTGTCCATTTCATACGTAACATAGAATGAAGATTTTGACGTAAGGAACCCATTACTGCATATTCCAAGACAATGATATAATCTTCAGAAGATTCATCTTTAGATATTCCATAGCACTTTAGAAATGAAGGATGCTTAGAACTAATATCGCAATATGCCTTTAACTTTATTATTAAATCAAAAAATATATACGTAAATATCATTAGACATTTAAAAAAATAAAAGATAAATAAAAAAATTACCTCTTTTATAAATCCTTCATTACAAGATTTTGATCCATGCAATAATTTAAGTGCAACATCTTGTTGTATATTTTTTTTTCTATCATACCAACTAGCGCAAAATACTGTTGCAAATCCACCTTGTCCTATTTTTTTAAAAATATCAAATTCTTTAAAGGAAATCCATGATAATGAATACTTTTCTTCAACCAATAATTTTTTTACATCATCATCAATATTTGAATAATCGTTTGTCAATCCACTCATGGCTAAAAAAAATTAATTGACAAATGTAAATAATATGTAACTTAAATATAAATCTAATAATAATTGTTATTTTTAAATTACCCAATGTTTTATTTTTTTCCCTTAATTTTATTAGAAAATGGTTATTTTTGTAACAGATTATAATTACGACAAAAGAACGAAAATAAATAGAATACTTACATTTGATACCAATAATTAGCTTTCTGTAAATCTCTTGATGTTCCAATCCCATTTCGATAACAATAACCAACTTCTGACATTCCATTAATATCTCCCATCTCGGCAGATTTTTGATAATGAATGAATGCCTTATATTCATCCTTTTCAATCCCTATTCCATGTCGATAACAATAACCAAGGTTATAAATTGCATTAGCATTTCCCATCTTGGCAGATTTTTGATAATGAATAAATGCCTTATGTACATCCTTTTCAATTCCTATTCCATCGTCATAACAATATCCAAGGTTATAAATTGCACTAGCATTTCCCATCTCGGCAGATTTTTGATAATGAATAAATGCCTTATGTACATCCTTTTCAATTCCTATTCCATCGTCATAACAATATCCAAGGTTATAAATTGCACTAGCATTTCCCATCTCGGCAGATTTTTGATAATGAATGAATGCCTTATGTTCATCATTTTCAATCCCTATTCCATGTCGGCAGATTTTTGATAATAAATGAATGCCTTATGTTCATCCTTTTCAATCCCTATCCCATCTTGATAACAACGTCCAAGGTTATAAATTGCATAAGCATTTCCCATCTCGGCAGATTTTTGATAATGAATCAATGCTTTGTGTTCATCTTTTTCAATCCCTATTCCATATTGATAACAATACCCAAGGTCATTTATTGCATAATTATTTCCCAATTCAGCAGATTTTTGATAGTGAATGAATGCCTTATGTTCATCCTTTTCAATCCCTATTCCATGTTGATAACAAAATCCAACTTGTTTTATTGCAACAGCATTTCCCAAATCGGCAGATTTTTGATAATGAATGAATGCCTTATGTTCATCTTTTTCAATTCCTGTTCCATAAAAATAACATTCCGCAAGATTATAAATTGCATCAGAATTTCCCATCTCAGCAGATTTTTGATAATGAATGAATGCCTTATGTTCATCCTTTTCAATCCCCATTCCATCTTGATAACAACGTCCAAGATTAAAAATTGTAATAGCATCACCAAATTCGGCAGATTTTTGATAATGAATGAATGCCTTATGTTCATCCTTTTCAATCCCTATTCCATATTCATAAGAATATCCAAGGTCATTTATTGCATTATCATTTCCCAATTCGGCAGATTTTTGATAGTGAATGAATGCCTTATGTTTATCCTTTTCAATCCCTATTCCATGAAAATAACAGTCCGCAAGATTATAAATTGCATCAGCATTTCCCATCTCGGCAGATTTTTGATAATGAATCAATGCTTTGTGTTTATCTTTTTTAACCCCTATCCCATGTTGATAATTGTATCCAAGATTATTTATCTCAGTTGAACTTTTATTTTCCATTTGTTATCGAATATGAGTAAAAGGCAAAACCCACGAATCTGCATTTTAAATAACTGTTTTGAGTAGCACATAAGCCATAAAGTATGTGCTGTACATTGTCACACAACCCAGAAAATGAAAAGTTGGAACACAGATTTACTTATTAACCCTAGGTGCCGCGCGGCAGGTCCTCGATTTTGATTGGCTAACGGCCGAGGATCTTCAAAATTTTGGCCCGTATTACATAATTGTTTACTAATTTACGGCCGAAATTAACTTTTTAATTTTTTCATTATAAAAATAGAAATTTTTAAGAAATAAGCCCATATTATAGTAAAATTGATCCAGGAACAATTTTTCACTTAATGGGCAGCTGCGATTTCATTAGTAAAATTACGGGTAATTCCTTAGCCAATCAAAATCGAGGATGTGTCGCGCATTTTTTGTGCGGCACCTATGTTCAATGATTTACTTGAGAGTTGCGGCGAAGTTATGAAATACCCAAAATTTGAAATTTTGACTACCAATATATAAATATCGAGATAGTCAAAATTCTCAGGTTAGAATGCGTCATTTAATTCTATTCGAAATGGAGCGTTATTGTCTAGATCTTAGGTCCAAAAATTTTTCAAAGTTTATTTGTTTGTTAATTTGGTAACTAAAATTCAAATTGCTTAGATTTTGGTGATCGAATTTAGTTTAATTTCGTAAATTCATCATGATGGAATACAATAAATACTAGTATATGTCTCATCGCTTGCGCTAATATCTGATCGTGTTAAAGTTTGATGAAGTTTTTCGGAATTTCGGGTGAATTGAATATAGAAGGTTGATATTACATGCGTAGTCCCAGAAATTATAATGTATAAAGATATCAGCATTATAGTATTTGAATATAATATTGTCGTTTTTTTTAGGAAATAGGGATAGATACTTTTTGTAATTTCATTCAGACAACTGAAAAGTGTACTTGCTATGCAACATGAAAAATCTAATAAAAAAATATTTTCGACTACCTGTCAA